GTTATAATGTGACGGTCAATCCCACTATTCGCTGGTAAAAAGAGTAGCCCAAGAGTTGGCGGTGGGTGGTGATGACTAGCTGCCTTCCCTCTAGTCTTACACTGTTAAATTAGGGACGGCTAGCGCAGATAGCCCTCGTGTAGCTTTGCGCGAAATTCAAAACAAACAAACAAAAACGTACGCTCTTTCCGAAACCCTCTTCCCCGGTGTACTTTTTTGTATGGTTTTGAAATCAAAACAAACTCCCCTTGATGCATACGTACTTCATTGATGATCCCTTTACCAGATTCTTAGTTTGTCTGCCGAGATCTTTATTTGGAGGTTAACTTAAAAGGTCAATGTTTTCCAGGAAGTCATATACTGGAAATTCTGAACTTAAAATCAAACTAATAAGGGGGAAAAAAATCTAAACTTATTGTCTGTTAGGAGTTCTCGATAGTAACGATTGTTCATTAACTCGAACTATTCACCAAAACTGAATATTACTTTCCTGCTATTTAAAGTTACACAAGCTAAATAACGGTTAATGACATTTTATGCTAGGTAAAGATTGTTTTGTTTTTTCTATTTCGATAAAAGTAAAAAAAAAAAGTACAAATGTATTTTTTTTATTAACCGTCGCTTATTGTACATTCGAAAATACTTCGTTGTGAACTGTGAAATTGTCTACATAACATAGATGACTTTAATTAACTTACAGGAGATCCAAGTTGTCCAGAATTTCCTTGTTCACCCTTCGGTCCCTGCAATCCCTAAAGTGCGCATGAAATATGGATGAATAAAAGTGTCAGAGTAGATTTATGATATGGACAACAGTAATCAATAGATATAACATTATGAATATTCTTATTCAACTATTCCTTCAATTCAATTATTAGAAAATAAAGAGGCTCCAAGAATATAGTCATAAGTCATAAGGCTATTTGTAATAAGAAATTTATTTCACCTATGATAATGATAACAATGTTATTATAAGATCCATACTCCAAGTCTGAGCAATATTTTGCTTATGATAATGATAACAATAACAATGTTATTATAAGATCCATACTCCAAGTCTGAGCAATATTTCACTTATGATAATGATAACAATAACAATGTTATTATAAGATCCATACTCCAAGTCTGAGCAATATTTCACTTATGATAATTATAACAATAACTATGTTATTATAAGATCCATACTCCAAGTCTGAGCATAATTTCACTTACGATGATGATAACAATAACAATGTTATTATAAAATCCATACTCCAAGTCTGAGCAATATTTCACTTATGATAATGATAACAATAACAATGTTATTATAAGATCCATACTCCAAGTCTGAGCAATATTTCACTTATGATAATGATAACAATAACAATGTTATTATAAGATCCATACTCCAAGTCTGAGCAATATTTCACTTATGATAATGATAACAATAACAATGTTATTATAAGATCCATACTCCAAGTCTGAGCAATATTTTGCTTATGATAATGATAACAATAACAATGTTATTATAAGATCCATACTCCAAGTCTGAGCAAGAATATAACTTTTCTAAGAATATGAAAACTACTAATGTGCAATCATCAACCACGTTGCATCATTCCACAACAAATCCTGTAGGGAAGGTTACAGAGAACGTTGTCTACAGAACAAGAACAACAACAAAAAATGATGAAGACAATAAGACCATTTCTTTTCTTCTTCTTTTTCTGGGGTGTTTGTTTCGTATGTTCGCACAAAGCTAAACTAGTCGTCTCTAATTTTGAACTGATAGACTAGATGGATTTGTTTGTTTGTTTTT